GGTTCTTTTTTTCTTTTTGAGACAGGGTCTCACTATGCAGTTCAGGCTGGCCTTGAGCTGACTTTGTAGCCCAGGCTGGTTTTAAACTTGCAATGATCCTCCTGCCTCAGCCTCCCAAGTGCTGGAATTACAGGCGTGAGCCACTACACTCGGCCTAGGGTTCTTATTTTTCAGTATTGGGAGCTGAATTCAGGACATTCACAGACACTTTGCTAAGGTGGTTCAGGCTGATCTCAAACTCGTGATTCCCCTGCCTCAGTCTCTGAAGTACCTGGACTTACAGGAATGTGCCACTGGGCCAGATTTGTGTTTTTAAAATTTTTGGGTGGTGTGTGTGTGTATTTAAGTGTGTATCCTTCGGGATTTTCTATGTATAAAATCATATTATCTAGCTAGGTGTGGTGGCATACTCCTGTAATCCCAGTCCTAGGAAGGCTGACACAGGAATATCATTGCAAGTTGGAGACCAGCCTGGATACAAAGTGAGCCCAAGGCCAGCCTGAACTGCATAGGGAGACCCTGTCTCAAAAGGACACACACACACACACACACACACACAATCATATTATCTGCAAACAGAATTTTACATTTCTTCTAATTTGATAGCCTAAGTTTTTGTTTTCTCCAACAGAATGAAATGGTTCTGAGTACTTTTCCTTGATCACCGAATAAGGATGATACCATTAATATAAGATTATAATACCTTAATGTAATACAAGAATTATATTATATATAACTGAATGTTCTTAATATAAGAATATAACACCTTAATGTAAGATTTGCAGATGGTAAGATAAATATAAAACTTTAGACTTTCTCAATCTTAGGTTCTCATTCCCTCTTCCTATCCTGAGTGCTACAGCAGAACAATTTTTGAGGATTAACTGGCTATATAATTAATCTTAAATCTGTTGTTTTCTTATCATGTACAACACACTTGCCTAGTTTAACCATCATTTTGTTTTTCATTTTTTGAGTCAGGGTCTTGCTGTGTGGTCTAGGAGGCTGGAGCTCACTATATAACAAGGCCTGGCCTCAAACTCAATACTTCTGCCTCGGCCTCCCTTAGAGACTACAAGAATGCACCACTACCCCTGGCTCTTTTGTGAGTTGGATGAAACAATGAATACTCAAATATGCACATAGAACATCTTGCACTTAGTGTTAGATCTACGGATCTCTTTATATTCAACCATAAAGTTCTTAGTTACAATCTGGATTCACCTTACCTGCAATCCTGTTCCTACTGCACACATGTCATCTTTAGACATCTTGGTTGTTTCTGCTATACAACAGCTTCTATGCCTATCATGTTCTCGTTCTCAACTCAGTGTGCAAACTGATCAAACACATTCTTAGGACACATACACACAAGACTCTCAGAGCAAACTGGTAGGGAAAAAAAGGTATTTAATAAAGTACTTTTATTTCAATTTTTAAATTTTTAAAAATTTTTATTTATTTGTATTTCAATTTTTAACAATCCTTAATTATATTTGGAAAAAGATCTTAATCTTTGCAGTGCTGTTTCTGAAACAATACAATTTCTGAAGGACAATGGCTAGTCCTCCCAGCCCAGTAGGAAAAAACAAATAAGCTACTCCTGAAAACGTGATTTCTCTCATTTTCTTTGGTGTAAATATATTTAGGTATTCAAAACAAAAAAAGCTGGTGTCACCATACACATCCATAATGTGGACACAACTATAATCCCAGCACTTTGGGAAGCTGGGTTCAAGGCCAGCCTGGGCAATTTAATGAGAACCTATCTCAACATTTAAAATAAAAGTAAAAGTCGGGGCTGGTGGCACATACCTGTATCCCAGCACTGGGGAATCAGAGGCAGGAAGATAGTTGCAAGTTTGAAACTAGCCTGAACTACAAAGTCACTCCAAGGCCAGCCTGAACTGCATGGTGAGAGCCTGTCTCAAAAAACAAACAAACAAAAAACCTGGGGGCTACCCTTAACTTCTTCCTCCCAATTCTGCATATACAGAATGTGTTTCACAAAGATCTCCACAGTCTAAATGAGAAAACGGCTTGGCATGGACAGAAGATATCAGGGTATATAACTGGAGACTATGAAGACAATGGTAACTTGAATTAAGTGTAATACTAGTAATTTAAAAATAAAAAAAAGTGTTGAAAGGAGAAATTATCGAACTTGGTATATAGACCTGGATAAAGAGGGAGTCTGAGTACAGTGCTTTGTATGTTCCTTATTAAGAGAATGAAAAAAACAGTTCAAGTCTAGGAATATTTAAAAATATTATTAATTCTACTAATAATGTCTGAACACAGGTTTAGCTCACATACACCTTGCATGGGAAGTTATTTGAGGATAGACTACAGCACAAAGCAAACTAAGGAGGAAGATATGGACTCCAGTATAGTAAATCCCACCCACCCAAAAGAACAGTAAAACGCCTATGAATAAAAACTTTGCCATGGTCCTAGAGATCAGACTGGGGTAGCGAGCTCTGGGAGAGTGGTTTTCATGAGCAAAATTTTAAAATCTAAAAATATTGAGAACCCTGAGAAACTGAGAATATGATGAGCCATGTAAAACACATAAAACACATTAAGATATTAGTTTTTAAACAATTTTTGGTACTGGGAGCTGGATGTGGTGTCTCACACCTGTAATCCCAGCACTCGGGAGGCTGAGGCAAGAGGATCATTATGAGTTTGAGCCCAGCCTGGGCTGTAAAGTGAGCTCAAGGCCAGCCTGAACTGCATAAAGAGACCCTGCCTCAAAAAGACAAAAACAAAACAAAATATTTGGTACTGGGGATCCAACTCATGATCTCACGCTTGCCAAGTAGGCACTTATAACACTGACCTAAATTCCTAGCCCAAAGACTTTATTGATTTTGAAAACTGAACCCAGTCCATCATACACGCTAGGCAAGTGCTCTACCGTTGAACTACATTCCTATGTTCCTGCCCTTTTTTGGCAGTACGAGGGATTGAACCTGACTGTGCACATGCTGATCTGCATCTCTACCCGCTTTAACTGTATTTTGAGTCAGTCTCATCACACTGCCCAGGCTGCCCTTGGATGGATCATAGGCGTGTACCACTGTACCCAGCAAACGACAGCTGACTTTTCCTCGTTTTCCTCCACTGCTCTTCAAAACAATGTTATGACATCACTATTACTAAAGTATAATCCTAGTAGTCTGTTTGTACAGTGAATATTTACATAGGAATATCTGAAACGTTTTTTATCAATAATTTCACCAATTCTTTTTTCTTTTTTTAAAGATGTTAAATAGTATCTTCAAGCTCAGCTTCATTTCAGTAGTTGAGCTAGAAACGAAAATCAGGCCTGACTTTAAAGGGCACTCATATCTCAGCATTTACTTTGGTGACACAACATTGAACAAAAACCAGTACTCAAATCAAGGTCTAGCTCAAATGTCTTTTGATGCCTTCCCAACTTCTTCAGGGAAAACCTTGTTTGCCTTTTTTTTTTTTTTTTTTTTTGGTTGAGACAAGGTCTCACTAGGAAGTTCAAGCTGGTCTTAAACTCCCTATATAACCCAGGCTGGCCTTGAACTTGCAGTGATCCTCCTGCTTCAGCTTCCCAAGTGCTAGGATTACAGGAGTGCAAGATTTTAAGGAATACTTCTATTATACCTTATGATACATGATTTCCCTGGGAATCACATATCCTAATACTGGGAATACTGGAAGGAAGGAATAGTATCTTAATCATCTTTTTGACCCCACAATGCTCACTACTGCTCCTGGCAACAGAAACTTAAATGAGACAGAGTCTCTGCAGTTGAGTGTAAAAGAAAACAAAATATACACATATCATTTTTAAAAGGTCAAAAGTACAGTTATAGAAGAACTGTAAGTTACATATAATGGAGTTTAAAAGAACGAACAAGCCAGTTGCCAGATTTTCATTCAATCCACACACAATTATTTTCAAAAAATTTAAAGTTTCTACACAGGTTGAAATCAACCTGCTAAGACATTTTCTCGGACTAAAACTTCATGAATTTTAATGAGTTAGCCGTATTTATGAGTTTAACATAAACATTGGAATTTCTGGGCTTTCCTGAGGAAAAACAGATCTCAGAAACTGGACACTAGCATTCTCTAAAGAAATCAGATGTGGCTATCAAATGTTCCTTTTACATGAATTTGGGGCTCTCATCACATCACCGTACCTCTCACTTTTTTTTAAAGACAGGGTTTCGCAATGCGGTTCAGGCAGGCTGCCCTCAACTTCCTCCCCTCCTCCAGCTGCCTCAGGTTCCTGGGTGCTGGGATCACAGGCGAGTGCCAACATGCTCTGCTGGCTTCTCCCACTATTCTCTTAGGCTCAGATGGCATAAAGTAATTTGGAGTCCCTTCCGCGGGAGGCGTCTGTGACCCCTTCTCTAGACACACTTCTCGCTGCTTTTCTACACATTATGTATTTCCAGGCATCTGTGTCTACCCACATTGTCTAAAAGCTCTTCGCTTTGTCCCAAAGCGCTCCTGAATCAGGGCTTCAAGTCTTTTCATCTCCCGGCGACCGTGTCACAGCGACATTCTGAACATACCTCTATGACATAGCTCTATGACACTCTTAAACACAGCATATGTACAAGCTGCCCTCTTCCGGTGTGACCAGCACCTTCGCACTCGGGTGCCTAACCCCTGGGGGTCCGGCACGCATCCCCAGAAGTCAGTCTGCTCTAGGGCAACACGAGGCCAAATCATGTAATACCACGTGCCGAGCGCTAGATCTGGAGTTCAAGGCCAGAACAGTCCAAAGAACTGGATTCTGGCTCAGAAAAAGCCCGCCGCCAGCAGCCTGCCAGTAAATGCCACAATATCTGAAGACCGCCACAGCGCACCCATTCTTGGAGGACTCCAATCCCAACTCTCGCGAGGTTGGCCCGCAAGCCAGCCTTTCGCCCGCGAGACTTGCGCGTTGGTCTCTCCAGATCCGCAGGGCGGCGCGGCGCTCCGCACGGTGCCCTTCCGGCGCTGTGTCCCGGAAGCGGAAGTGTTCCTTCCTGTCTGTCAAAGTCTGTGTATTACCCGGTGGTCTGTGATCCCGGGATCCAGGGGGAAGTCGTTTACACTCTTTTTTTTCCCGCCTTTTGAGCGCTTCCCTCGCGGCAGGGGGGAGTGCAGGGAAGGAGGTGCGAGATGAGCACCATGTTTGCAGACACTCTCCTCATCGTTTTTATCTCCGTGTGCACGGCTCTGCTGGCGGAGGGTGAGGACGACCGTTTCTCGGACCTTTCATCAGTCTCAGAAAGGAAGAAAGTCGGGGTCCCTCGAGCCACAGAGGAAAATCGAGAGCCATAGTTGCTTAGAGGGCTTCATTTGTCCAAGAAATCCCTGGGCAGCAGCTTGTGAAGTGGGGCGGGAGGGTAGTGAGGAATTGATTGCCCAGATTTTTTTTTAGTCTAAAGTAGATTCCACAGCCCTGTTTGTGAACCCTTTCACATCGAGTTGCAGTTGATTTGGCTGAAGAGTCAGTTGTATTTATGCTTGAAAAATTTAACCCTTTGTTGCAATCTCTCCTACCCCAACAATAACTACTAGTAAGTTTGGTGTGACTGATCGAATCATTTCTCTATTAGCATGTGGTTTTTAATGTTTTAGGAATTACCTGGGTCCTGGTTTACAGAACAGACAAGTATAAAAGACTGAAGGCAGAAGTGGAAAAGCAGAGTAAAAAACGTGAGTACAGTAACACTTAGAAATACTTTTGCCAGGCATGGAAGCAAACGGTTGTAATCCTGCAGCTGAAGGATCAGTGGGAGTCCAAGGTCAACCTGGCTACTGAGTTCAAGGCCAGCCTGAACTGTCTTGTGAAATCGTCTCTCTCTAGTGAAACCCTTGTCAAGTTCATTAAGGTTTTTTTTTTTTTTTGTCTTTTTTTCCTTTTTATCGGTACTGGAGATCGAACTCATGACTGCCTGCTTACCTTAAGGCAGGCGCTTATGCCGCTGAGCTAAATCCCCAGCCCCCCAAGTTCATTAAGTTTATGTTCGCAAGAAAGTGGTGTGTTTGTGTGTGTTTGTATTGGGAATTGAACCTATGAAGTACAGACCTACAGCTCTATCCTTGTTTATTTTGTTAAGTGCTAGACTGGCCTTGAACTTGCATCCTTCAACCTCAGCCTCCCAATTAGCGAGAGTATGCTTATAGACACATGCCATCATTCCCAGCTGCAAGGACAAAACTTGGAATAAAAAAGTAACCCAACTTGAAATCTATTTAAAATAGATTTTTATATAACGTATAATAAAACTAAAGGGAAAATGGGACATAGCAGGTAGATAATATGTGCTGAAGTAGTTCTAAAGAAGAAGTCTTTTTTTTTTTTGAAAGACCATGGAAGTTTTATGATTCTGATGGCCTTGTAGTCCTTTGTAGATAGTTAGAATTTTGATAGACACTAGGTGGGAGGGAGTTTAGGGAATTATAGGTATAGGAGATAGCAGATGAGCAAAAATGTGGTAAAGTTTGTGGAGAATAATAGATAATCTTGAATGGAGTCAAGGTAAGTAGTATCTTCAGGGATATGTCAAGTTTTAATTAAGGATTTTGGGACACTGAAGAAGTGCTTAAGGAAAACATTATTAAGAATTAAGTTGACTGTCTTTGAAATAAAGTAGGAATTCAACAGGACACAACTGACGGTACAACATGAATGGTTCCTTATAGGCATAGTTTGACTTCTCATTTTTCTTTGAAGGATTAAATACAGGTTTTACTTCTAAATTTTTTTTTTTTTAATGTGGTCTTGCTATGTAGGTCAGGCTGGCCTTGAACTCACTATGTAGCCCAGGTTGATCTTAAACTCACAGCCATCCTGTCTCCTCAGCCTCCTGAGTGCTGAGATTATGGTGTGTGCCACCATGCCCAGCCACTTTTTCTATTCTGTGTCTTTTCCATGTGTTCTCATAGTGTTTGGCCAAAAAATATGTTTTTTTTCCTTAAATGATCTCATTTTATAGCCTGAGGATGTAGTTCAGTGGTAGAGTCTTTGCCTGGCATGCCCAAGGCTAGGTCTGATCCTTAGCCTGCAAACAAAAATAAAGGCAAAACTGATCTGATCCACATGGTAACCATTTGTGGCTACCTGTATAAATGTTACCTCCACATTATAGGAATGAAGGTTGAGACTCAGAAAGTTAATAATATAGTACATCACAGAGCAAACAAAGCATTAGAGACCAAACCCAGGCTTTTAAGATTACAGTTTACCATTCCTTATTTAGTGTTGGTAATACGTCTCACCATATTTAAAACCAAACTCATTATCTTTATCTTCACAAACATGATCCTCTTACAGAATTTCCTTACCTTGGTGATCTGAACCTCTGTGCTTCTAGTAGTGCAAGCCAGAAAACTTCATGCAGTTTTTTTTATTTGACTTCCATGTAGTGTATTGTCTTGATTTCACTCTCATCATATTGGCTGTTCTTCTACAATTTCTTTGTGGATTTCTCTTCTTACCCTCCTATTGTTGATTATGAGGGGTGATACAAAATTTAGTGTAAGTTGGGCATGGTGGCGCATGCCTATAATAGCACAACTTGAGGAACTCAGGCAGGAGGGTCATTGTGAGTTCGAGACCAACGTGGGTTACAAAGTGAGTTCAAGGCCAGCCTGAACTTCATAGCAAGACCCTGTCTCAAAAAGACAAAAAAAAAAATTCCAGTACCCAGGAGGCTGAGGCAGGAGGATTGCCCAGAGTTCTCAAGGCCAATTTAGACTACCTAGTGAGACCCTGTCTCAAAAAAAAAAAAAAAAAAAGGGAGCTTAGCTTTTTTTCCTCCTCTGTGGTGCTTGGAATGCATGCCGGGCAAAGATTAGACCAAAATTTTCTTTTCGGTACTAGGGATTGAATTCAAGACCTCGCACTTGCCAAGAAGGCACTTGAGCCGCTGAGCTAAATTCCCAACAAGTTTTTTTCTTTCTGTTAACTCTCTAAATGACCTCATTTGCCAGTGGTCTCCATTATTTATGTCTCTGACCTTTTCTCCTTAGTATAAATTCATTATTCCCCCGCAATCTGTCATCTTAGCATCGTCTAATAAACATCTCAAACCCCCACAGTTAAATACTTGTTTTTTACTTTAGGCCTGCTTCATGTGTTGCCTTTTTGACATTGGTCAGTGACACTTTTATCCTTTGAGTTGCTCAGGCCGTAATATTTGTACAGTTATCTTTGACTCCTCTCACAACCCATATCCAGTCACTGGCAAAGACTATGGAGCTGTGTTTTAGTATCTGGAACATAACCCTTTTCACTACTTCCCACAAGCACCTTGATGTGTATTTTTTTTTAAAATTAAAAAACTTACTATTTATTTTCTGGTACTGGGGATTGAACCCTGGGCCTTTGCTCTAAGCTACATTGCTAGCCCTTTTTAAATTTTTGAAGCAGGGTGCTAAGTTGTTAAAGAGATTTGACCTTGCAGTCTTCCTGTCTCAGCCTTCCATTTTGCTGGGGATACAGACATGTGCCACCATAGTCAGATAGCATCATGATGCTTCATGTGGATTAAAACCACAGGTGTTCTTGTTTCTCTGTAGTCTTTTCTTAAGATAACAGCTAAATTAGTCCTTTCAAAAAGCTATCCTGTCATGTCCTTTATTTGCTTATGCCTCTGTGGTACTCTTATTTACTCAGAGGAAAAGGCAAAGTCCTTACATGGTCTTCAGTGCTTATTCTCTTAGCATGCAGACCCTCTTTTCTTCTCCCTGTGCTCCTCACACATGTTAATTACACTTCTGCGCTGGACCTTTCCAATTGTCTGCTAGCAGATGTTTTTTTCTATGATGTAAATTCTATAATATGGTTCTTGCTTACCTTGTTAACTTCAAAATCTCTATTTCTTGTTATGGAGTGAGATTCTGGAGAATCAGTGTCAGTATACAAGGACTTCTTTACAACTTCCTGAAGTTAGAGAAACATTAATCCCCCACACACCCAGATTTATCTGGTGTCAATCCAATCCACTGGAAAACCAGTTGTGTTTATGGTATCATCTTAAATTACTATTCTGTAGTCTTCTGTCTTTTTTGCTTCCCCTTGGTTTCTATGCAGTTAGTTTTAAATGTAATTAAATAGTTATATTATAGTCCTTCTGGAGTAGAAAGGACATATTTTGTTTCTTTGTGTAATGAATAAACAATAAACATAATATTTTTGTCCATTTTATCCCTTAAGATGTTATTTTTTTCCTGTAACATCTTTTGGAATTTGAGCTGATTTCATTTTATAACTTCACACTAAGCGTTACTCTAAATCAAGCATTCTCTGTCTACATATATATTAAATATAGAAATTTTTACTGTCTATAATTTTTTTCCTGTTTTCTTTTTCTGTACTAGGGATTGAACCTAGACCCTTCACACTGACCTGATCCCCATTTTTGTTTTAACGTTTTGTCATCTTGAGATAGGGTCTCTAAATTGCTGTGTTGCAATAATTTGTGTTCCTCCTGTGTCAGCCTCTCAGAATCCTGAGTTCAAGTGTATGTCACCATACTGAGTCATTTTTTTTTAAATTTATTTGAAACAGTACATGTTTCTTAGGCATCTAATATGCACATTTTATTTTGGTGTGCACTTTGTATTTCATTTGCAAGAATGGAGTCAAATTGAATTTTATATCTCTGATAAAGCAGTAATGCCAGTTTAGCTTTTATCATTCAAGCAACAAATTTACTGTATTAAGAGAAAATCCTACTTGCTCATTCTCTTTAATGTAATTTTTAGAAATAATATGTGTGGTACTGCTTGCTGTTAGTATCCTAAGGCAGTATAGGGAACAGATAATGTAAATAAGTAAAGATAATTTTTGACATTTCTAGTCTATTTGCAAATAATTAAAGACGTTAAATATAAGTATATTACACTATTCCTTTTCAAAAGCTATTACTCTTATATTAATTAAAGTGTATCAAAAAATTGGTCTTAGCTTGTTTTGTTCTCCTGATTTTCCTACTCTGTAGTATGTCCATCTGGATGTTTTTTTCTAATTGTCATTTGATTATGTGCTTTCACTAGATTGTTCTTTAGAAAGCAAGAATTACATTTTTCTTTCTCCCTCTGAAATAGTATGTGTACTTCGGCAGCCAGTAAGTGAATAAATGTCTCCCTACCTTCTGTAATAAGGAGGGAATAGAACTGAATGAACCTACAGTTTACCATATCTGAGGAAACAGTTTGAATATTGTGCTTGACAGTGTCTCAGGGATGCTCTTCCCTGATAGTCTGAAAAGTCATCCTAGGGGGCTGGGGATTTAGCTCAGCAGCATAAGCACCTGCCTTGCAAGCAGGCAGTTGTGAGTTCGATCCCCGGTACCGATAAAAAGATTAAAAAAAAAACCAAAAAAAAAATAAATAAAAAAAGAAAAGTCATCCTAGTTTTGGTTAAGTATTGACTTAACACAGTACTGTCTAAGTATCTGTCTAATGATGCTTACAGTTACAGTGGTTATTTTTGCAGTGATGAGGCCTGAACTCAGGGTGTTGGCATGCTAGACAAGCATCTCACCACGGAGCTCTAATCCCAGCCAATCACTGTTGTTTTATTCTTGTCATGTGTGTCTACTGTACCTTTCACTGTTAGCAGTTTTAGCATCAGGCCTGTAAACTTAATCATGGCCATAAAGAAGTCAGTGTAGCTTACACGTTTTTCTTTATTTGTGGTCCTGGGGATTGAAACCAAGGCTTCATGCATGTTAAATAAATGCACTCCTGCTGAGCTACACCTCCATCCCGGTTCTTCACTTTCTTGTAAGCTTTGGTCAGTCTAGCAGTGATAAAGCATCCTTTGCTTCAGTGTAATGCTCTGTTACTGTATTTTTACAGTGGAAAAGAAGAAGGAAACAATAACAGAGTCAGCTGGTCGGCAACAAAAAAAGAAAATAGGTAAGACATTAACCTAAAGAAGTTGTTGATGATAACCCATCCTTGTATGGCTTTATGATTTATAAGGCACTTATATACTTTTTTTTTTGTACCTGGGATTGAACTCATGACCTTACGCTTGCCAGGCAGGTGCTTATACTGCTGAGCTAAATCCCTGGCGGCACTTGTATATTTAATGTCATTTAATTCTCAGTATTTTTTGAAGTAGCACAAATTTAGGTGCTTGCTATGTTTTTACTCTTCCCCTTGAAATTTGAGTTTTAATGAGTGAGAGTTGTGGCTTTGAATTTGGCTGATAGTTCCTGGCACAATTTGTAAGCGCATGTTGTTTTTTATGTCTGAAGTGATTATTTCCAGTTGTCTGAGTTACTTGTGTTCATCTTGGCCTTGGCTTTCTTGCTGAGACTTAACTAATGATAGAAATCCGCCTTGCAAATGAAATTTTCTGCTGAGTAATTGTACCTCCTGTGAAATATAATTTCCCTATGTTTTTGGATTCTCACAATTTATAAATGATTATATATAATTTGTGTTTGTGCTTTATGACATTTCCTAATTCCTAAGTCAGGAAAAAAAATCATTGTGAAATGTTTTTGGTTTAGATACTATGCTTCTGTACCAAGATCACTGCTATTGCAGCCCAGATGAAAATTCCACGGGGCTGGACTAGCAATATCTTGTTCTGAGTGAAGCTTCCAATCCAGTATTCACTTTAAAAATTTTTTAAAAATTAATTTTAAATTTTTTAGTACTGAGTATTGGACTCGGGACCTTCCCAGTGAGCTACTTCCCAACCCTTCCTTCTTCTTTTTTTAATGACAGGGTCTCTTCAAGTTGCTAATTTGTCTAGGGTTGGCTCAGATTTGTGCCTCCTGCCTCAGCCTCCTAGATTTCTGGAATTACAAGCATGTACCATCATTTCTGGCAGTAGTGACATTTTTACATGACCTGATGCTGGATGTGGTGGCGGCATGCATGTAACCCTAGCAGTTCAAGGGCTGATGCAGGAGGATCGACACAAGTTCAAGGCCAGTCTGCAGTATATGGTGACCCTGTTTCAAAACAAAACAAAAAGTCTGGACATAGTGGCACTTGCCTGTAATCCCAGCATTTAAGAGGCTGAAGCAGAAGGATCACTGCAAGTTCAAGGCCAGCCTGGGCAATATAGTGAGTTCAAGGCCAGTCTGAACTATATAGCAAAACCTTGTCTCCAAAATAAAACACCAAAAAACAACAACAATGGAAAACAAACAAAAAATCCACACAAAACAAAAATAAGATTCAGTTAAAAATGGCCTGTTCATTCAGTGCCATGGCAGAATGCCGTTGTGTTTCTTTTCTGTGTCAGTTAGTGTTAGATGCTAGGTGAACAAAGTAGAAGAAGATTCTGTTTTTGTGCACTCTGTCTAGAGAAGAAAACCAGACAAGAAAAAGAGTAAGTGTACAGTGTGATATATATGTATATGTTGGTATGTATATAGTATATAAGGTATGATCAAAGAATGGTGAATGTTAAAAAAAATTACTGCCACAAAAGATTCATTGCCATTAATCTCCTTCAGAATACTCCCTCACTTCAAACACACTCATCCCATCTTTTTTGACACTTTCTGAAGCAGTTCTGGAAATGCTTTTTCGTGGACTGTTTTGTCGTGCCTGCTTCAGTGCCCTGAATCCATTCAAAACATTTACTTGTCATGGTCATTTTGACTTTGGGGAAGAGCCAGAAGTTGCACAGACTAGAACCAATGAATAAGGTAGATGAGGACGCACCATAATGCATTTTAGGAGCCTTCCTTTATGTTGAGGTGCACTTGACAGCAGCACTCACCATATTATTTTTTGTTTTGGGTTGTTTTGGTCTTTTGAGACAGGATTTTACTATGCAATTCAGTCTGACCTTGAATTCACTATGTAGCCCAGGCTGACCTCAAACTCACAGTTATCCTCCTGCCTCAGCCTCACAAGTGCTGAAATTACAAGTGTGTACCATCTTGTTTGGCTTTTTTGAGACAGGGTCTTGCTATATAGTTTAGGCTGGCCTCAAATTTGAGTCCATGCTCCTGTCTCAGCTGCCAAGTACTGGGTTTTATGTGTGTACCACTGCGCCCAGCTTGTCTTTTCTTTGAGACAGGGTCTTGCTCAGTATCATAGGGTGGCTTTTTTTTTTTTTCTTATTTATTTATTTATTTATTTTTGAGATAGGGTCTTGCTATGTAGCGCAGGCTGGCCTTGAATTTGCTTATGTAGCCCAGGCTAGCCTCAAACTCACAGTGATCCTCCTGCCTCACCCTTCTAAGTACTGGGATGACAGGTGTACACCACCATGCTTGGCTCTCACGGGGTGGCCTTGAACTCACCGTGTAGCCCAGGCTGGCCTCATTCCTGCCCTGGTGCCTGAGTGGTTGGATTATAGGGTTGTGCCACTGTGCCCAGCCTCAGGGCCCACATTTTAAAACCCTTGTGTTCTAGGCAGGATAGGCAAATGTAAAAGCATGGATGGATAAAACAGCAAAGTATGGGCTTAGCACTGTAAATTGTGTAGTATAACACATAAAAGATGATTGTAAAGTACATACCTATGAGACTAGAGTTTAATAGGGTCTAGTTCTGTAAAGATTTGTACAAATTTAACAGATAAAAGCAAGTTAATATATATTTAGAAATATTCAGACAATAATGAAGGGACTTAGGGACATTGAGTTTTAGCATGATATTTTGTTTAAGGAAGACGACCCTGGCCATAGTTAAAATTGGAAAGGGGACCATTTTGGAGGTAGAAAGGTTGGGGCTTTTTAAGTATCTCAGGTAAAAAAACATAAGAACCTGAGACAAGGCAGTGGGAATGGAGTAGATGGTAAAAATTCAACAAGTATAGAGAAAGTAGAAGCAACAGAATTTCAAGAGTGTTTACAAGATGAATATGGAGAGAAGGACAGGTCTGGAAAAATGTCCAGATTTCTGAACTGAGTAGGAAATATTGGAGAAGTTGCAGATTGGGATTTGGAAGAACAGAAATGATGTCAGGGTCACTGGATTTGAAGTGCCTGAGTGACTGCAGAGTGGAAAGTTTGTTCGCACTTGGATGTGCAGCTTGAGAACTGGTAGAGAGCTAACAGCCACCGGTGGATTCTTGAGAGTTGTGTTTTACATTGCAGCTGAGTCCGCATGGCAAATGAGATCACACATACTACACAGGACAAAAAGAGCAGAGGCCTGAGGGTGGGAAGGTGTGGAGGAAACAGAAATTTCAGAAGCAGTAGAAGCAGGTGAGCTCTGAAAAGGTATTGCTTAGCAAGTTGGAATAAAGTTATGTCACATTAGGTGAGGGAAGAGCTTCAGGAGGCAGGAAGGGGCTGAACATAGATGCTGATGTCTGAGAAAGTGATTTTAGCAGGAACAGTTTTAGTGGCATGGTAGAGGACAGAGTCTAGATTGTGCTGGTTGAAGAGATAATGCAAAGGAGGAGGTAAAGACATTGAACACAGACAACCTTTGCTGTGAGAGATAGGACAGATAAAAACGGAAGGCAGATTACTCTGCTCATACTGATAGCATAAAGTATCTGAACTCAAGTTATCCTAATGTGGAATGCAGCTGTGAATTGTTTGCTCATCCCAAAAATCACCAGAAGTTTCAAGTAATAATATTTATAAATAGTTCCTATCAAACCTTATCAAAAGTTATGACTATTTTTGAGAAGTTGCTTGAAAGACAAACAACTATTTCTTCTCCGTGTTTATAATACTCTTAGATTAAGACATACTGTTAGAAGTCTGAAAGCCTAAACTACATTATTTTGGAATTCATAAAATTACTTCTCCTCTATTTGATCTTGGTATTGATACTATTAGGCATTTTAAGAAAAACATAGCTAAGTACAATTTGTTGTACTACTATGGTGGAATATTTTTGAGAATACTCTCTGCAACGCCACACATTTGTCTTTTGATCAAAAATTGTGGAAACTATTTCTGTTACTTTTTAGTGTTAGGGAAAGCAGCAACTCATAAAAATTTATTATTATCTTATGGGCACAATATATGAGCTGATTTTTTTTTTTTAACCCAACACCCCAAATTAAAGGTTTATTCAGCTCACAGTTTGTGGAGGTTTCAGTCCATAACCAGGTGGCTCCATGGCAGGGTAGCACAGCACAGGGGCAACACTTCAAGGCGGCAGAAGACAGCAAAAGCAGCAAGAGCCAAAGGAGAGGCAAACCTTTCTCTACTCCTCCCTTATATAGTGTGCAGGCTGGCAACTGTTGGGGTTGGTGTAGCCCTATGAGCTGATTATTTTTCCTTTGAATTGGCTACTAAGAAGCCAAGTTACATTTGCTATTCATCTCTAGTAACTTCATAGTACCAGTTAAATGTATGTCTGTGTATTAATCCTATCTATACTTTTTTTTTTTAGTTTTTTTTGCTCAGATTGCTCACTTTTTTGAGCTGATTTACAGAAACATATTGCATATACACACACACACACACACACACACACACACACACACATAGGTAGCATTATAGTATTTGGGGGAGGAGAGGAGAGCTATAGAAATGATGCACTGAAAGAGACAGGAGTGCTCAGTAAGATTGAAGGGGACAACAGTAATTAGTGCTTCAGAGAATCCAAATATCACTGATTGCCCTTGGTGAAGCACTTTGATAATGATCCTTAACAGAGCCATTAATTGAAGCTGAGGGGTCTTTTGTATTTTAACTAAGAATCATATGTTCCCCATTTTTCATTTCAGGGGCGTATGTTTTGACCATTTAAAATTTTCTTCTCCTAGAGGATAAGTGAATCCCCCACCCTCACTCACCTTTTGGTACTGAGAATCAAACTCTGGACCTCACACTTGCAGGCAGATGCTGTGTGTTGCTGAGCTGTATTCCTGGTCAGTTAATTTGCTTTTTATCTGTGGATTTCATTTAGCTCTATCAGATGCATTTAAGTTACCTCAAATGATGAGAGATTTCTTTTAAGGGTCTGTGAGTCAGAAACTCAGAAACAGCTGAACTAACTAGTTATGGAATGTAGAACTGTGGTAGACCAAGTCTGAGAGAAGCCCGATGGTGGCATCTTCACTCTAAGGCTTTGCTATTAATAGATGCTTTTTCTCCTCTGTTGCTGAACTTCCTCACTTTGTCTGTAGTGGTTATCTGATGTTTAACTTTTGCCTTCACCTAACGTTAGTTTGTGTCCAGGGGTTCTTTCTATCTCAGTGTTTTTCAGAGTGTGATCTATAGAAAACCTGTGTCAGTTTTGCCTAGAATACTACTACTGGTTAAACTTACAAATCTTATGCCAGACTGAACCAAATCAGAGTCTGAATAGGAATATAGAAGTCTGCTTTTTAACTAAATTGCTCAGATAATTTTAAGGCGGGTGGAAGTTTGAGAACCAATACTTATTTCTGCTTTCACAATTTTTCTCTCTCAAGATTTTCTCCTTTAAATTCCAGAGAAAAGGAATTCACTTGGCTCATTGGGTTGTTTTGTGTCCTAGATTAGGTCCTGTCTTTTGGGTTTGTGGTGGTGAGATGGGGTATGTGTTAGTTAGGGCTCCCCAGAAAGACAATTGATAGAATATACATAAATACTTGAAAGGGAATTTAGTAGAAGAATTGGGGGACATGGTTATGGATCCTGATAGAGTCCGTAAGAGGGTGTCTGGAAGCTGGAGAATGAAGAAAGCTGGTGGTGTAACTCAGTCCAGTGCTGAAATCCTGAGGACTGGGATGCTATGGTGTCACTAGTATACTGAGGCCACTGAACCAAATCCTGGGGTCCAGGGGCCAGGGACTGGGATTCTGATGTCAAGGGGCAGGAGAAGAAGGATTTCTCAGGTTGGGAGTGGATGGGGTGAGGGAGGAAGGGGGAGGAGAGACAGAAGGTGAGGAGTTTCTCTGCTTTGTCCTTTTGTTCTTTCTGGGTCCTCAGAGGATGTCGGTATTGTCCACCTAGATTGGGTGAGAATAAATCTTCCTTAGTTTGCTGATTCTCCTCCAAGAAATACTCCATACCCAAACCTAGTATTTCACCAACTCTCCGGGTATCCCTTAACCTAGTTACATTGATAACTAAAGTTGATATCACAGGTGATGAATATTCATAAGGCTGATCTCAGTAGGGACCATGGTGAGAGGTAGCTGTCTTCAGAAGGTGGCTGCACTGGGAAGGGCAGGCATCCTGCAGCTTGGCTATGTGATGGTTGTGGCCATCTCTTGTCTTAGTGATCCGGAAGTATGGGAGGATTGTGTTTTCTTTTTTGCCATACTGGGGATTGAACCCAAGGTGTCACTCAAATTAGGTAAGCACTGTACCATTAAACTACTTCCCAGTCTTTAAAAAGTTTTTTGTTTAGATATAGAACCTCACTAAATTACCCAGGCTGGATTTGAATTTGTAGTCTTCCTGCCATAGTCTCCTTCATAGCTGGGATTATAGGCATGAACTGAAAAGATTTTGCCCTAAAGGGGCTAGTGCAGCTGTGGGAGGCTGGGAGGCGGAAGGTCACCTTCCCTGCCCCTAAATAAATTCCCACGTGCTACCTGTACATCAGTAATGCCCCTTAGGCTTCACCCCAGACCTAAGCTATATATATGCCCCCACACCATGTGTTGGTTAGAGAGAAAGCCAGACCTTAGTGGTCGGGGGTTCTCTCTGCATTCTTAAAATAAAGGCCACTTTATATTCTGTCTTCTAACTGCGCTGAAAACTCTTTCATGAACCACCTACCCCACTCAGCAATATTTAACCTGTTTTGAGGTCTAACATTATATATTTATTCTAGGCCTTTGTCTTTGTGTGCTTTTGGATTGGTTTGAGGTCTGTTAATTTTGTGGTTAGAATGGATGTTGTCATTGTTACTAGTTTATTCCAGTTTCACTGAAATACTCACTTTTAAAATTTTATTCTTTCCTTTTTGTCATTTTGGAGAAGTCTAGAAAATAAATATGACTTCTGTATATTGTCAGATTCTTTTTTTTTTTTTTGTCAGTACCGGGGATCGAACTCAGGACTGCGTGCTTGCAAGGCAAGCGCTTGTGCCGCTGAGCTCAATCCCCAGCCCCTATTGTCAGATTCTTTAATCCATAGACTTTCCTCACATCTCAGAGATTATTCTACGGAAATTCATTATTAAGAGGGTTCATAGAATTCCTCCTAACAGGTGTAATTTTCTCTTTGGGAAATTATTGTCCTCTATATTAAATACTGAGTTTTGGGGTCGCATAAAGAATAATTCACATGAGACACTTGAACACAAAATAATGTGTACTATTTATTTCCAACATTTTTTTTTTTTTTTTGTACCAGGGATAGAACTCATGACCTTGTGCTTGCCAGGCAAGTGCTCACAACTTTGTGGGGTTTTGTTAGGCTGGCATTGAACTCACTTTTGAACTCACTTTGTAGCCCAGGTTGGCCTGAACTCTAAAAGTGATCTTCCTGCCTTAGCCTCTCAAGTACTGGGATTACAGGCGTGTGCTACCACACTCAGCTCAGGACACAATTTTGGAGAGAATGTGTGCTAGATAACCAGTATCAGTTAAGGGCTAAATTAGGCCTCAGCTGTAGAGACTCAATCACTTACTTATTTCAACACACAGAACTTTTTGTATAAGAAGTTATACATTTCAAGGAGTAGAATCACTATTGTCTAGTGTACTATCTCAGCTGACACTGCTCTCATAATTAGATGACTAATACACTCAAATGTTCACTTCCTGCTAAGAAACAATGTAACATAATTTTGAAGTAAATTGTTTGTACTTATTTTCCCTATAAATGTGACTTTACTAGAAATGCAGTTTCTGTTAGTACAAAGTATATAATCCAGATATGCATTTCATCTTATTAAATGATATCAAAACAAAATGCTGTTATAATTACAAGTCAGTGAGAATTTATTGAAAGTCTGAGTTCAATACTGTATATATTAACTATTTCACTAATTCTTGATTCTTTCCAGAGAGGCAAGAAGAGAAACTAAAGAATAATAACAGAGATCTTTCAATGGTAAGAGCCCTGAATATAATTTCATGGTAAATCACATGTTTTTAGCAAGTAACTGATTTGCATCAAGTGCATTGCACTTAGCTTTTCAGAAATTTATTACTTATGAGGGTTACAAATAATAATTATAGTGTTCCTGGGCCAAATGGAAGTGAAAATTCACTACTGCTCTTAAACTTCACTTTAGTATTATAGGTAGCTTTTAGAGGCTATCACAGAGGTGATAATTTGTCTCTGTCACATATTTCTTTTCTTTTTTTTTTAAGAGCAGAAATATTTATTGAGAGAAAGAAAGCTGTCAGAGAGAGAGAGAGACAAAAGGGGTCCCAAGTGCCAAAGATTCTGTATTTTCTTGGGATTTTTATAGAGTAAAATCACAAGGTGAGGTGGTTCTAAAGGGGGAAAACTGGGAACTCTCCAGGCAGATGGGAATGAGGTGGGACAGAGCTATAGTCAACCAGTAAGTTTAATTATTTAGGTAAAATTGACCAAATCAGGGACAAATGGGGAAGTGAGTCATGTCAGTGACTCTTCCTATAGGGGATTGGGATGGTGACTCCAGGCTTCTCAAGATCCAGACTTAATCCCTAAGGATTATATTTAAGGGTGTGGTTGCATTTGTTTTGCCCACCATCCTGAGATATGGCCCACAGCAAGAGGTGTGTGTCCCCTTCAAGGTCACCAGACATCCGGTCCTCTGTGCTGGCTTCTTCAAGGGTCTAGCCCTGTCTTGACTGCCTATATTTCTAACTAACTCGGATGCTTGTAACATTCCCTTCTGAAGAAGTATCCCGAACTGCCGCGAGGGAGAGAGAAATGGGCGATGACTAATTTGGCTTCTTTAGGCTGAAAGGGGCATAGTTGTTGATTGCAGTCAGAGATATTCTACAGAGTGTCTATCTAAAGGCCTCAATAGCACCAGGCAGTTTCATCTTGGGTGGCTGTACAGCTTTAAATCTGTCCAGTGATTTCGGTAGAACCTCCAAATGATACAGGGAATGAAACCCCCAACCTACTATATGTCTGGAGCAAGTTGGAGTTCTCTAAAATCGAAGAATGAATTTTAGGAACAGTGGAGGTTAAGAGCAAAAATATTTATTGAGAGAAAGAAAGCTTCTATCTGAGAGACAAAAAGGGGTCCCATGTGGGTTGCCCTATCACACATTCTTTATGTAGTTTTCTTGTTTTTCTTTTTTTGGTACTGGGGATTGAACTCAGAACCTTACCCTTACTGGGCAAGTGCTTGTGCCACTGAGCTAAGTGCCTGGCCCTTATGTTCTTAAATGATGTGGCTTATTTTCTTTTTCTTCCTTGTGTTAATCCTAAATCTTTGATTTTATGGTGACTTGTATAATTGCAATATTGTTGTTAGAACATTATAGGTGGCTTTTATTATTTTGCCCTTTAAGAGTCCTTTCGTTTTGAGTGACAGACACACTATAAAGTGTAAGGAAAAGTGATTTCAGTACCTATGTGCTTATTTATAAGCAAGTATGTGTGCTTAGGGCATAGTAGCCTGATTATGTGTAGCTTGGCTACTTAACTTCTGCTTATGTAGCACAGGACCCAGGAACTGTGTAACCATTTTCTTTCACTTGATGAGAGACCTTTGCTATATTTATCTTCTTCTGGAAAGCCTTTTCAAAAGAGATTATAATTTAGAAGTGAATATTTTATTTAAAAAATTTTTTTTTATTTGATTTTTTGAGACAGGGTGTCACTATGCAGTTCGGGCTGGTCTTGAACTCACTATGTAGCCTCGGAGAACCTGTGGCAATTCTCCTGTCTCGGTTGCCCAAGTGCCAGAATTACAGGCATATGCCACCATGCCTGGCATTAGAAGTAGATATTTTATCTTAATTTTTTTTTTTTTTAAAGACTGGAAGAGTTTCTTGAGAGAAAAAGAACTTCTGTGTAAGCGGGACAGAACAGGACCCAGAAAGGAGGTTGCCCACAGACACTGCTTCTCTAGGGTGTTTATTGAGCAAAAGCAGGCCGTGAGATAGGATTAAGGTGAGACAGAACTATAATCAATCAATAAGATTACAAGTATAGTCGCTTAGGTAATATTGGTCGAATGGAAAATCATAAGGTGGGTGTGAGGTGGGACAAGACTATGGTCAACCAATTACAACAAGTATAGATACTTGGCAGTAGTAATTAAATGAGAATGAAATGGGGAAACAAGTCACAGGACAAGGACCTTTTTGGAAGAGCAGTCTCCACCTTAAGGCCATTGATGCCTACTTAGAATATAGTCACTACTGTTTCTCTCTGGAGGGAGTAAGAGTACTTGGGTGAGTGGTTTCTCTTTTCTTGAAGCCTGCCCTTCAGTGAATATACCTCCAGCCACAGTTATCTTCTGCGTTGACCTTCTGAGGGCCCTGCCCTGTCTGACTGCCTACAATATTTCTACCTGACTTGGCTGTCTATAATATTCCCCCTTGAAGAAGTGTCCATAACTGCTGAGAAATGAATATTTTAAAAAGTAGCTTTTTAAACTTTTTTTTTTGTATGGAGGATCGAACTCACAAACTTGTGCTTGCCAGGCAGGTACTTATGCCGTTGCCCTAAATCCCCAGCCCCCTTTTCTTACTTCTTGAGAACAGTTATTGTATGTTCACCATTGCCCATTTGCAAACTTTTAAGAGATAAAAATTGCCAATGTCCCAAAGTCCCAGAGATAATATCTATTAATCTGACATCTTTATAAGCTTTTGTTTATATATTTAAAGAATATGTAATTAAGGAAGATTTTAGTTACAAATAACTGAAACCTAACAAATGATTTCTTTTTGTTGTCCATGAAGTCTAGAGTTTGGGAGAGCTGGGATCTTGTAAGCAGCTCATTTTTGCCCTTAGAGATTCAAGGCCTCTTGTTTGCTTGCTGACTGCTCTGGGCAGTACATTTTCATTCTAAGCAAAAAGAGGCCTGAAAGGATGCTGTTCAAGTTTGTCCTTTTTGTTTTTATTCGTTTTAATTTTAATTTTTATTAGTACATGTTTGCAGTGTATAATGATCACCTTCATCATGGGGAGTTAGTACATTATACATCTTAATTCTTTTTAAAAACTTTTTCTTTTTTTCATCCACTTCTCCTCTTCTTTCCCCCCATAGCCCCTCAGGGATGGGGATGTAGCTCAGGGAAAGAGCCCTTGCTTTGGAGACCTGAGGTGCCTTTCACTACTTACACTTATTACTCAGTGGTCAGAATTGGGAAATGGCCATCCCAGTACATCGTGAGGTGGCCAAAACAGGAATTGGAGATAGAAGGTGGGTTAGCTAACGAGACAGCTTTTGCTACGGAGAGCTTTTTAACAAATATTTTTGAAACCAAGACTTTTTGGGTATACTATACAGGCAGCTTGCTTTAGTGTGAAATGACAATCTGTTGGTTTCCTTATAGGTTCGAATGAAATCCATGTTTGCAATTGGCTTTTGTTTCACTGCCCTCATGGGAATGTTCAATTCCATGTGAGTATCCTGTTACGATCTTTTGGCCAGTAACCACTGTTCTATCTCTCCTCTCTCTCCCTCTTTCTGCCTCTGTATGTATACATATACATCTTCATAAACTTTTTGTAATATTTTATTTTGATATAATTTCAAACATACAGAAAAGTTGCAAGAATAATGTGAATAATGTATCTATTATCCAGAGTCACAGTTAGTATTTTTCTCTATTTCTTCTCTCTGTCTCTTTCTAATTGACAGTGTTGGAGATTGAACCCAGGGCCTTGTGTCCACTGTGTAAGCACTCTGCCACTGAGCTATGTCCCAGGCCATTTTTCCTGTTCCCTTTCCGTTTTTTATGTGTATTCATGCAGAGATTATTTATGCATTTTTATTAATCATTTGAGATTATGTTATTCTCTTCTTTATTGTTGGCTCCTTCAGTGTTTATTTCTTCAGAGGAAACACATTTTTTAATATAACCTCAAAATAGTTACCAAAATCAAGAGAATTTTTTCAGAGGATTAAATTTTGATGGGGTATAATTACCCAAAACTCATTTACCCTCTTAATATTGAGGATATTTTATTTAGAAGGTAAAGGCTTAAGCACTATGCAGTCTCTAAAAAATACTATGTCTCCTGTTTTTAAATTGCTTACTGGAATATTGTTTCAAACTGAAGGTAGTCATATAAAGATGTTTTGACTCTTAAAATAGAGTCTTAACAACTATAATCTTGTTTAATGGTGAGGTGGTCAGTTACTGTTATCTAAACTAGCATATAGCAGACCTGAGAAATTATGGAACTGCTTTTGACATAAGTTAGGAAAACATTCAAAGATGACAGTCATGATTACCTTTGTAAAACTCACCTGACCTCTGCCACGCATGTTAATTCTCATTTCTCTTTTCCTTCCCTTCCTCTCTTCTTCCCCAACCTCTTCCTTCTGTTGGTCTGTCTTTCCTTCTACCTGTGCCTCTTCCCCAAGTTTATCCTTCCTCACATTCTGTGAGGAAACACCCAGATGACTGTCATTGAAAAGAAGAGCAGCCATCTCCATTTTGGATAAATTTGGCCCTATTTCCAAAGCTGTACAGAGCTGGCTGGGTTATTTCTTTGTCCCTTCAATTGGCTTTAAGCAGTGTTAGCAGGGCTAGCTGAGGAACTGATGTGTAATCTCTGAGCAAAGCAACAGGTCAGTGTTACCCCGCCCAGTGACTTCCCAAACATATTGAGTGTGGCAGGATGAAGAGCCGTGCTGGCTGGGACAGATCCTTGAGGAGACTATGGTTTCCCAGGGCAAAAAGGATTGTACATCAGAACTGAGGCACTGACCCCAAATTATTAGATACTACCTCAGCTGTGTTCTGCAGGTTGCTCTCTGTATTTCTTGCCCTCTGCTTATTATAGAGGTGATCTCAGATCTCCTACCTAGCCCAGCTCACTGTAGTCATGGCAGTCATGTATTTCCCACCACTCTCATTGTCACTCATCCCCAGCTCCTCTTATGGAGAATTAATAAAACCCAGGTTGGGCTCTGGGTAGTGGTCTTTGTTCCAGTGAACATCATCTTGGCTAAATGTAGGACCCCTTTGGCTCCTTACAACTGTATATATGTCTCAGTGTCTTTATTCTCACAGTGGGTTGCCCTGGAAGTGGTAGATTGGAATTAACTCATTTGAATTCCAATAACTTCTCCATGGGATTACAAATATAAACCTTCTGGACTGTGATGAGGACCAGAAAGAGTTCTCTATACATACTGTGCCTAGGTATCAGAATATAATAAATAAATTGCAACCCTTGTGCTCAGTAGTATCATATTTTATAGGAAGAAAAGATAGATAAACAATGAATGCATCCGTGAATGTTCTGATATGTATGAGGTATAGTAGAGGTGATTCCTTTTTTTTTTTTTTTGTGGTACCAGGGATCGAACTCAGGACCTTGCGCTTGCCAGGCAGGCACTTACGCCACTGAGCTAAATCCCCAGCCTCAGAGGTATAGTAGGGAAGAAAAAAGGGAGTAGTTATTTTTATCTAGTTGAAGGATTTAGAGAGGATGTCCCAAATAGTTTTAACATAAAATTTCCATTTACTCATCATTAGAATCATAGACCTTTATAACTAGACGAAACTTTTGGAAAATTAAGCAGTTTGTCCAAGGCAGCTGAAAGTACCATGGTTTCTGTCTAATCCAGGATCTTTCACTGTGTCATACTTTGTGTCATATTTTGACTATAAATCTCCATGAATTGGCAAACTACATACTGAAAGACACTATAATTGACTAATAAACATCATTGGTACAACTCAGACTAGTCAAACATTGACTTCATGTGTGTTATGTTCTGGGCAGGACAGCACTGGCTTAGTAATCTCAATTTTTTTCTATTTGCTGCCTAACTACCATGTCCTGTGCAGCTCTCAAGTTCCTGGGGGAAGGATAGCGAGAGGATGGAGAAATAAGACAAGAGACAGTACACAGAAAGCTGAGGTCAGGTGAAGCCCTCTCTCTGACTGGGAGGATAGTCGCTGCTCAAACACGGCAGTGCTCGCATTTATACATGTAGAAAGTTGATGTCAGGTTAAACCCCTTTGCCTAACAGTCAGTTCTCCTTTCATGCTCCTGTTCTCAGGGCTGCATTACCTGTTGGAGTCTGGGGTGGGGTGGGGTGAGTGTTGGGAGGACTCAAGGCGTTCCTTGGGTGCTTGGCTAGATCACTAGCTCAGCTCCTAACACTTCTACTTATCTTTTTTCCTGCTCTGAGTTTCTTATGTTTCTATAGATTAGTGTTTTATGTCTCTATAGTTATTCTTATTGCCCTTCTTTTGTAACCACTGCAACAGCTTTGAGTCTTGATTTACTTGAAGTTCACATTAGAAGTTATGGGCTAGGGATTTAGCTCAGTGGCATAAGTGCCTGCCTGGCACCACAAGGTTGTGAGTTCAATCCCTGGTACCCCCCCCCCCCCATTAGAAGTTATTCTTTAGTTTTAGGGGCAGATAAGTTCTAGTGAAATAGCCTGCATAAGATGGAACCAAAACAGTGAGTAGTAATTCTGCACCATATTCTTTTTAAATAGTTTGTGACCATATTATGAAAAATAGAGGGGCCAAGGGTTTGGCTCAGTGGTGTAAGCACCTGTCTGGCAAGCACAAGATTGTGAGTTTGATCCCCGGTACCGAAAAAAAAAAAAAAAAGAAAAGAAAAATAAACTAATCTTCCTTGGCATATAATCACTCACACTCATGTATACTAAAAGAGTGCTTTATGAGAAAAGAAGCTGGTTTAAATAAGTTTTCTCCTAATGCCATATATTTTCCTTAACATGAATTTATTTTATGCCTTCCCCCATTAGTAAAGTAATACATTCTCATTAGAAAAATTTCTTTATTTCATAAATGTAAAAAAGTAGAAATCACTGTGTTTTCAAATGTAGTACATATCCAAGTTATGTGTTTTTCTTATGTATATTTGTACATGAAAATTTTTATACATAACTGCTTTGTGACCTGCCATATTTACCCTTCTGTTTTCTGACTCAAAGGTTGCCTCCTGTTGGAGACTGACCTGCACCCTCGGTCCCAGGTCACTTTCCCATGCACTGCCCACTCCTCCAGCTTTCCCCCACCCAGGCGGGCTGTTAGAGACCCAGGCCTGCTACTAGTTTGTTTCCCTGACCTGAAGACCAGCAGTATAAAAGACACTGTCAATTTATCCTCCTGGCAGCCAGCAGAATTCTTGCCTCTAGCGTAGAGGAGCCTCTCTGTCAAGTGAGTTCTTCTCTGTCATTTAGTCAGGGGAACAAACTAGTACAGAAGTAGGTCTCGACCAGCCGCCTGGGTGGGAAGGCTGGAGGAGGGCTAGTTTCCCATGGTGGTGTCAGACAGGGACCCCAGAACATACAAAAGTCCACACTGAGGAACAGGGACTCTGGGACCCAGGACAAAGCTGGAACCAGGGAAGCTCAGCCTGTGCAGAAAGTGTAGGGAGTCGGAGACGGGAGGCCTGCATCTCTAGCTCTCTTCCTTCTGTTCACTCAAACCTGGCTACAGATAATTAAAGGAACACAGGCTCATCTGCCTTCAAGTATCCATTTAGTGCATTCTCAGGTAAACAACTTCAACTCAACTCAATTGACTCTCTTCTTTGTGCACTCAGAGGAGGCCAATTAAACCTTAATCTTCCTCTGGTCGCCCACAGCTTCCCTAAGATGCTTTACCTGATTCTTCACTAGACTCAGGTGAGTGTCTGTCTGTATGACTGTAAATTCTTCATATTTAAGTATAAAGCATTCATGTCCTTCAGGTTCAGGGCCTGTTCAGATGTATGAATAAAACATTGTAATACACACCCCTATTCCCTCTGTCTCTTGTACCTGTACTATTCCAAAGCAGTTGATCCTATTTCAGACATGAATCAACATTTTTAAAATAATTTCTAAAATGTGAGTGTCTTTCAAGAAGACACTAGCAAACCAGTTGAAAAACTAAATTCTCAAACTGAGAATCCAAGACTGATTGATGAAATGTTTTCTGTTGACTAGTAGGTCATAGATTTATTGTTATTATTATTATTATTATTTAAAGAGAAAGAACCATTAAAAAAGTAGAGAAAAAAGAGTAGAAATAATACAGAATTACAGAAAAATAAACAGTAAGAATTCACTAGTTGATAAGTTACATATTGTCATCTTAGAAATAGTTGTTCAGATTACAAAATTAAAAGCATATAAAGTGACATTCACATAATGACACTGCCAACAGTTCTGCTCAATGATCCAACAAAAACTTAGTAATATGGTTATCAGTCCTACACACTTGTTTTTTATCTTAAAGAGGGTAAAATTAAACATCAAAACAGAACAAAACAGTTCATAAAGAAACAATTTAAAGAAACACAGATTTCAAAGCAAGTCCACTGGAGATCTTCACTGTCTATCTTACTGTTTCTACTTTTCTTCCAGATAGTTGTCCCCATCTTCACACACGTTGAATATATACTGCATATTGTAGA